GAAAATGGACACACAATTTGTCCTTGCACGGTGTAATTTCTTATAGTATCTCTCAGCTCAGCTCATAATAGACCCCCAAAGCACCCTCTTGTTTAACCTTTACAAACTCATTCAGTGCTAATGGACTCCGGCTGATATCACACTGATCTTATTAGGCTGGACCACTTTGTAGTCATGGCAGCTTAGCGATGCTTTGTTATGGAACATTGCAGTAGATCGCCATGACTCCCTCAAGCTTTTTTCCAGGCCATAAAGCAACTCCCATGACCTCACATCAAATCAGAGACAGGGAACCCTCAGTTTTTACTATAGGAATTACCCCAGACAAATGACATACAGTAGGTGTGGATGTGTTCTTAATCTACGAGTAGAACATGGGAGTGACATGAAACACTTGTTCCAGGAATACCTTAGTAACCACTGCTGTAAGACTGAACTTCTAACCTCTCCAGGACAAATGCTAAAGTGTTGTTTCTGAACTTTTCCAGACATATTGTAAATGCTTTGTGTTAGATTTTCTCTAATACATCTGCTCCTCCAAGCTGCTGCTTTAAAGTATCTTTTCTTATCAAGTAAAATATATGTGATAATGTTTAGTTTCTGTGTCATGCTAACTGACAAGGATTCTTTCTTTACAACAATACTTGATTGAAATCCATACTTTGAATTCCTAGTAGTGCTGAGACCATGTAGTCACTCCCTCTGTGCTCTTGATCATTATGTTGACTGTTTCACCAAATGGAGATCTAAGGTGGAAACATATGAAAAGACTTTCAACATCTCAACAAACTGTGAAAAGACCCAGGATCACACATCTAACAGCTAAGATTTAGAGATTACATCCCTCTCTGGTTTGATTTTAGGTCTTAAACAGCTTCAACAACACAGTCGTGTACAGATTCTTATCGATTCCAGTCACAACTTACCTTACTACCCTTTTATTCATTCTACTATTATTCCCCCATGTCAAGAATGAACTTTAAAATTCACGTGTTAGCAATTAACCTCTTCTGGTCTGATGTTAAGTCAGTAGGAGAGTGGTTTCATTCCTAAACCCCTGCAGACTGTGAGATTATTTGTGCCAACAGTCCCAGTGACCTGGCCTAATTTTTGAGACCGATGCCGACTCGGCACAAATTTTAAAGTGACTCAGCACATCCAAATCAGGGTCATAATCAGCCTTTATATCAGTTTCCAGCGTTACCCCCGTCTGAACCTTCTCTCTTCTCTGTGTAGACAACAATGAATGTGCAACAGACCCAAATCTGTGCGGCTCCAACGGGGTCTGCCAGAACACTCCAGGGAGCTTCAATTGCGACTGCCAGCGGGGATTCTCATTAGATCCCAATGGACAAAGCTGTGAAGGTCTGACAATAATAGATACCAAACTCAGAATCAGCTGAGTAATTACATAAAGGAAATGGTTCCAGTAATTTTCATGCATGTCTTCCTCCCACAGATATGGATGAGTGTGATGGTAACCACAGGTGTCAACATGGCTGCCAGAACTTAGTGGGTGGATACAGGTGCAGCTGTCCTCAAGGCTACCTGCAGCACTACCAGTGGAACCAGTGTGTTGGTGAGTCCTCTTTATCAGCAAATATAAAAATTCTTTCCTTTTGGGGCGTCTCATGACTTGGCTGCTAAAATATGTACCACGCAGCCTTGAAGTTCTGGGCCGGAGTCAGGGCTTGGAGCCTTCACCTCTTTCCCACCTCTTTCACAATAGAAATCTGTCCCAAATGTTTTTCCTTTTTCTCCTTTATCTGAAAATTCAACCCTGTCCTTGCAGTTGTAAAACCAGCAGCAAAGGAAATTTCAACTTAAAATGTAACAATAAAACTGCATTTGTTTTCTATATATCCACAGTTAAAATAAAAGAGACCAAAATACAGAGTGGCAGGTGGCTAACAACAATTTTTAACTCTGAGGTGACACAGAGATCTAAAGTATCCACAAAAACCAAATGAAAAGAAGAGCATGTTGCAACACAAACATTTTTAAGCACATGAAATAATAAGAAACAGCTCCGACATAATCCAAGTAATTGCATGGTACAATATGAGCATGTGTACTTTTGTGTATACCCTAAAATAACAAGCTTTTGTTAGTTAAACCTCTATTTTTAGTTTGAATCTCTCCACATATTTACAACACTCATGTCTGACTTTCCCAGCATTGTTTGTGCCCTTAAACTGGAATGACCGCTTGTTTGTTTACTTCCCATCAACTTCCTGTGACCCAGATGAGAATGAGTGTCTGAACAGCCAGATCTGTGGGGGAGCGTCGTGCCACAACACCCTGGGGAGTTTCCGCTGCCTCTGCCCCACCGGCTTCAACTATGAGCAGACAAGTGGAGGCTGCTCAGACATCAATGAGTGCTCCACCAGCCAGAACCCCTGCAAGTTCGGCTGTTCAAACACGGATGGGGGCTACCTCTGTGGATGCCCACCTGGGTACTTCCGTGCAGGACAGGGGTATGTGAATGAGTGGCCATATGTACAAAACAACCTGTAGGTGTGTTTTTTTATGGCTGACTGGTGGCTCTTTTTTTCGTTCCAGGCACTGCGTCACAGGTTTAGGCTTTACAGGATCCAGTGGTGGACCGGGAGGTGAGGTGGATGATAATTCTCTCTCACCTGAGGCCTGCTATGAATGTAAGATCAACGGCTATCCCAAGAAGGGACGCAAACGTCGCAGCACCAACTCAACGCAGGAGGATCCTCTGGAAGACACGCAGGTAATCTGTATGCAGGATACAGGGCTGGAGGCAGAGGTCGTGTCGTCTGGGTTTTAGCAACCTAAAGGCACATTTAGCAGTTAAAACCTTAATCAGGGCAGGTTTAACAATCTGGTTCCACGAATTTTTGACTCACTGTGTTAAAATGTAATGACTTTTCAGACTTGGAAATAAAAGAAAGCTTCCTCTTAGGCCTTTAAAAAAAAAAAAAAAGGTGGGACAGCATACTTTGGTTGAACTTACCTCACTTTTGCAAAAATCACAGTCATCTACTCGTACTATCCCCTGCCATTTTGCATCTCTTGGTTAATGCAAGAAAACATACTGCACTGTCAGTCGCGTGTCTTATAGTCCAATACATTCAGTCGAACCATGTTTTCTCTCTGCAGCTGACTGAGGAGGAGATGGTCAGCCTGGCCAGTGTGGACATCGAAGACACCCTCCAGTTCCACCTGAACATCAGCGACCTGACCAACCGCGACCACATCCTGGAGTTCACCCCGGCCTTATCCACGCTCAGTGACCACGTGCGCTACAGCATCGACTACGGCAACGACGACGGCTACTTCAAAATCAACCAGAGAGAGGGCGTCAGCTACCTGCATCTGAGCAAGAAGAAGGCCCTCCTGCCAGGGGCGTACTCCCTTCAGATCAGCAGTATGCCCCTCTACAGGAAGAAGGAGCTGGCCGAGCTGGAGGACAGACACGATAAAGACTACCTCACAGGACAGCTGGGAGACGTACTGAAGATGAGGGTGCAGATCATCCTCCATTAACCATCGCAAGACTGAGAGAGGCAGATGTTGCCAGCAGCTGCTAATCCGGTGTCAGGCTCACACTCCCCTAAAAGGCCAAACATTTCTGACTCTGGGTCAGTAGTTCGGGGCAACTTCTACTCGCTCCAACGGGCAGAATGGTTTGCCACCAAAAAGACTAGAAGGGGGTGGGGGAGGGGCTGCGTCATTTGATTACCAAAGATGATTCTACATATCATAGATACAATTTCTGTGGAGGCAGTATGCAAGATTTTCAAATGAAACGCATACTGCCCTGACACACAACTCCAGCTGTGTTTAAAGCACTATTGAGGGTGTGAATAGGGTTTTTAATTGTAGGGCTTAACGTTGTATGATGATATGTGGAATCAGATGCCACTTTGAAGGGCATGTGGACTGCAGAAAGCTCTAAAAGCGGAGTTTGCTTAGAACTCGGCTTAGATGGAAGATAAAAAGGGTGAGTCCCAATAGTCTGAAATAAATTCATTTCCTCCCCTCAGGTAAATGACTGAACAAACCTGGATACATGGAAGTTAACACATTTCTCCTTCCCCAGATATTAATTTATGGAGTGAAGATGAAACAGATTGAGAAAGGTTAGGAGAGGAAAGGAACGCACTATGGACTATTGAGATGTAGCCATGTCTGAGCTTGAATGACTCCTACTGCATATTTAAACTATGCTTTTCCATCTTTCCTACTGACTAGAATATTTCATATTTACTGGTGCTAGCAACACAACCACATAGACTTCTGAATGCACTGTACTACTATACAAAACTCAGTAGTCAACAAGATACAATCCCATCGGCCATTCTGAAGATTTCATGTCTTTGCAACCGTAACAGCTAGCTTCATAGCCTGTCTGCTCTCCTCTATACTACATGTAAATTGTGTTTATACTGTAATAATCAATGCCACTTTTAATCTATGAAGCATTTGTAAACTAGAGGAAGCCCCTGGAATAGAGGGGGTTGTAATGGTGCTTATAATGACCAACTACTTCCTTTGTAAACTGTGTATACATACACACACACCTGCACACACACAAGACACATTGATGATGCCAAACCTGGGCCTTCATGATTATGCACTGAGGTCTTCGTGGCCACACATTCTCTCACACGTAAAATCAGTGCCGCATTGCCACGGACCAGCCTGACACCAGTCTGTGTTCTCTGTTCACATCAGTGAGGGTTTAGTTGTAAATTCACAATAAAAACATATTTTTGGTGTACATGTACTCCCTGCTGTGCTTTCCCCTTTTATCCAGGTTGTGATCGCATTCAACAAGACCCAGAGTGCAGCGTTCTCTGAACATATGAGCTTGTGAAACTCACATTACAGGAGTGGAACTGGTAAAGGAACACAGGTTTACAGATTAGACCGAGATGAATTTCTTGTCCTGCACTGCCCCCATGTGGAGATTTGGAGGATGGCTACATGCGAGTGTCAGTCTCAGTAAAAACACTGGACTCTTCAAAGTACAAAACAAGATCTTTATTAGCACCTAATGCAGATAGTTTTAACAGATACAGTACATTTCAGCTCTAATTACATTTGGAGCTTTAGTTACGTCCAGTAGATCCAAAGCCGCCAGCTCCGCGCTCTGTGTCATCGAGTGTCTGCAAGAACAGCAAAATATTTTTTTGGTTGAATTATTAAAAGTAATCCGAACACATAAATATGAAAGAAAACTTTTTGCAGTAAAATGACACATCCTTAGAGAAAATCTGGTGATGCTTGCAAGTATTTCAAACTGGTTAAGCACATTCAGCTGCCAGTTTATTAAGTACATGCAGATGAAACAGTTAAATACAACAGTTCTGCAGTAAATTCATGTTCAGGTTTTGGAGGCTGTATTGTGTGGTGCTGCTGAAATCTGCTGTGATAAACAGGCAGGTGTTTCTATTATTTATCCTTTCCTCACTGAAGTAAGTGAGGAGGGAAATATAATCGAAACAGCACCATAAATGAAAGTCTCAAATGACCACAGAACACATCTTTTAAAAAGTTTGATTCAATACCTGAACATAACCTTCATGATGTTAGGATTCCAAGGTCGCATTCGTTTTGGTTAAGTGTACCTAATAAACTACCAGCTGAGTGTACATGTATGTATGAGTTTGTCAACTGGCAATTTACCTCTTTCTCCTCGAGATCAGGGTAGCAGATCTTCTCACACACCAGCTGAGCAACTCTGTCGCCCTTTTTCACTGGGAAGAACAGCAGCAGATGAAACAATTTTTAAGATGCATATCTGTACGATATACTGTTTATAAAGATCTTCATATCTTTAGTTTTTATATGCATCATTTACAAATTACTTTCATGACATCTGTACAGGATAGAATACGGTCCACATAAAATGTTACAGAGCTGTAAGTGTGAAGTTCAAACAAAGTTATTTTATTTTCGGCAAGTTCTGTGACCTAAATGGAGAAAATTATATACAATATGCAGCTTCAGTATGCATCTAGTTTTGTGCAGTGCAAACATATTAAGCACTTGCGATTTCTATCTCTCATGTCACATGAGTGAAACATTGGATTGTCCCAAATTCGTCCTGCAGCAAGGCAACAATCGCTAACATAGAGGCACAGCTCTTTCACTGACAAGAAGAACGACACCTGCAGCAGATGGTATGGCACCCTCAGAGCAGATTTGAGTCAGTCTAAGACCACATCAAGAAAAGGCACTGAGGAAGCCAAAGTCAACATAAAAACCGTGGCAAGTTCTCCAAAATGCTTTGAACAACTTCCCTGCTAAGTACCTTGAAAATCTGTGTTGGAGAACTGGTGCAGCTTTAGAGCAAAATGATGTTCACACCAAGTAAAGTTGGGTTTTTTTTAAAAATGATTTTCTAAACAAATCGGCATGTTGCTTTTTAGTGCCTCTAACCTTGGCACCGTAACACATATACCTGACTTTTTAGCAGTAGTTGCTATTTAACCAGCAGGAAGCTGATAACAAAAGAACATGGGGCAGATTAAACTTCAACAAGTTGTGCTTACTGAATGTCATGTACTCATTGATGGAACAGTAAATAACGCTAAACTAGGGCAACTTGCATCATTACAACTTCTTCCAGAAAAGCTCAATATGAAGCACAATAAACCAGAGTAATGATTCATCATGGTAATAAAATATATGGGTCAGGTTTTACCAGTACCTTTTATAAAAAAGTGATGACAGAGTTTACTGATGCAGCATCTCACCTTCAAATGTGTCCTTGCTAAAGTTGAAGAGCACGACACCCACATTTCCTCTGTAGTCCTCATCTACAACTCCGGCTGAGGAGAGCATACAGATTTATTAGAGGAAGGCAAAATGCCTGATGTCACATCACTGATTTGTGTAAAGTAGGTAAAGACTCACCACCAACATCGATGAAGTGTTTCGCTGCCAGTCCAGATCTTGGTGCTGAAAGAAGAAATTGGCAAAGAACAGTAATGATGTGTTGTTCTGCAGCTGCTGTGATAAAATGCATTTAGCAAAACATGTAATGTTACAGGTGCACTAGCATGTCTAACACTCACCCACTCTTCCATAGCAGCCATGTGGCACTGCTATCTGAATGTCTGTCTTCACAATGGCCTTATCCATAGGCCCAATGATATAGTCATATGCACTGTTTAAATGGAGAAAAGTGAAGTGAGCTGCTTGGCATGGCAATGTATTAATTCTGCAAGCATGTATACACAGGCTAACACAGAGTATGGACATCCTACAAACTGTGCAATTTATATGACAAATTTGCAACTGAACTTTACAGAACTTATTTAGTCTTTCTTCTTCTGTTAACAGAGTATGCTGTGACAGTATTAAACAGTACACATGATAAATCAAACACAATTTTAACTGACAGCATAACCAACCTGTACAAGTCGTATCCCGCTGCTTTAGCTGAGCCTCTGGTAGGGGTCGTGGCATGTTCAGACAGTTTAGCAAACCTGAGGACAGATCTTTCTTCTGCAGGCTGTGTTTCTGTTCTTGCCCTCTTTGATGGAGAAACTGCAGAGGCGTCTGTAACTTCTAAGACGGGCATGTTGGCAAAGTTTGCACAGTTAAAACTCGACAGTGCACTAATAATAGAAAGGTTACAACTAACCAGGTGTCTGCACTACAAGCTCCTGCTCCAGTGACTTGGCGGGCGGCACACCGAATTTCCCGCACAGGAAGTTACGCCAAAGTAGCTCCTCCTCAAAAACGCGTAATCAAAACCGGAACTTTAACGAGACTCTCAACCGGGATAATATAACTTAGTAAAATCCAACTCCAATAGCTTATATAAAAGTAATTTTAAATAAAATATATTAATGTATAAACAGGCAAGAACTCAGCTGCTCTGTAACTATGGCGACCTTCTCGTCACGCCGTTGCTGACAAGTTCTCGCGAGATCTATATGATATAAACAACTGGCTTACCATAAAAATATAATACCCTATAAAAGATACAGACAAAAATTTGAGGACTACCAAATCTCTGTACACATTGCACCGGAATGAAACAGAGGTAGCGTTTAATTGCGGTCGCGGTCAATAGAGAAGTAATAGAGCAGCAGACCGGAACCGAAGAGGTGAGTTACAAAATGCTAGACGGGCTAACGGAGCTAACATGTCCCGACTTGTCGCAGGCAGCAAACACTGTCCATCTAAAGTTCTTGCTTGCCTTTGTTTTCAGCGGTCAGTCGCGTGTGAAAGTCTCTTCCCAAGAAACGCGGAGCAGCATCAAAAAACGATGAGCATAGCTGGAGGTTCTTTAGCAACAATCGGGTCATGTTGTTTGCTTATTTCTCTCAGCTGATGTCTCTCAGCTGCACTGCACTATTTCCTCCTCCTCCTCCTCCTCCCTCTCTTGTTCTACATCATTTTAACCCATTCTATTTTGAAGAGCATGTTTTTTTTTAACTGTTATAATTACACTGGGCACACAGGATATGTGTAGGTCTACCTAAAGCACAAACACAAAGTACAGTTTTGCTTTTGTTTTTTTTCTTTTAGATTAGATTAGATATGGGTTTATTTTTATTGCACAATGTGCTTAGACAAAGAAATACAATTGAACATGTAACCAAACGTGCACAAGAAGCAGTAAAGTTCATTTGGCTGAGCTTGAAGTGAATAATTATTAATATTATTATCTGATAGTAGAACTTAATAAATAATCTAAAGTCTCCTAAAAACAGCATGGTCTCCTAAAATCATGGATAATATCTAACTGTATAAACAAACCATATTATCTAAAGGCACTTAAGGGTTTGAAGACAAAGTTATCACTCAGATGGATTTTATTATCAATTGAGATTATTCAGTTAGAGCCCCAGATTTTAAATATGAAGTCCAATGCCTGCCTCCGTTGGGAATATATCAACATTACCTTTCAGGCATTCAGGATTCACATTCAAAGCGCATATTCAAGATGTGCACCATACTACTAACTCTAAAGATCTTTTATAAATCTTTTTGCAAAATATAACAATATATTTGTTTCTTACATGTCAAAATTACTATTTGACCATACTGTTATAGACATTGAGGCTGTTGTGGCTGTCCTAAATACATATCTTACTTTCTACTGACTAGTTTCAAAGTTCACAGACTTTATGCCTGTTTTGCACATAAAATCCAAATGTGTCACACGATAACTACCACCGTCACATAAATTTACAATGCACAAGTAATCTGCAAGTACTTTGAATAAATACCAGAACAGTAGCAAATAAAAAAAACTACCTCAGATTGTGTACTAAAACATACAGGTTCCCTCTTTACTGACATTTCATTGAACAAACATCCCATGTTATCTCCTTTAACCACCTAATAAATGACAGAGAGAACAGCTCCAAAATTGTATTAATTCTTTATTTTAAGTGATCACAGTCATATATTTAAATAGGGAGACAGACAGTAGACTAAAATATACAGAAAGAATTGGGTTTACAATATTTTGGTTCATTCAAATTTTCCTTAAACAAAAAGTGTACTGTAATATTAACATATAAAATATTGAAACAACATGATGTGGAACAGGTAAACAACTATATATGGCAGTTATTTTATAATTAGAAAATGTGTTTTAAAAACTAATCAAACCATTTGTTAAATTATTACTGCAGTTTAAAAAGACATAGTTTGCTCTTAATCATTCATAAAAGGTGTTTTTCCTCCAAAAAATATCCACTACTGAATTCTGACATCTACTATATACATTTATATACATCACAGTCACTCAGAGTAACCATTGCAGCAGCCTTGTGTCTCTGCCTTCATTTAGTGAACAGATCTGACCATGTTAGATGTGACCCGGCTTTGTTAAGAGCTTACGTCTCAGTTTTCACATTTAACAGTGTTTTCTGTACTTGTCCTTTGGTGCAAAAGGCTTAAACCAAACCCAAATTCACATTCTGGCTCATTCACATTTACAAATCCCATGTCAGAAATGTGTAGTTTTTTTTCACTTAGATTTGTCTTGCCCCTGTCTGACAGCACTGACAGAGAAGTTTGGGTGCAGCAAAACAGTTCACTATTTTCTTAGGTATTCATACAGTGTAGTCTCACAACAAGATGGTTTACTTGCTGGCAAGCTGTTTGCAACTTCACACAGTGCAAGTACACAACTTGCCACGAGCCTTCATGAAACAGCTCACACCACACCAACCAATAAAACCAGGTCAATAGTAAAATATTAAAGCCAGGACTAACAATTTTCCATCTGAACACTTCATTGTTTTTTGTCTGCTGTTTATGGCTTTGTACTTGTGCGTTTAGTCTATGAATTTATGCTCAAATGAGAACTGGAGTATGAATGGTCTCATCAGGAGTTAATTGAAAATGCTTTTTGTGTTACACTTCGGTGTTGGTCTAGAAGACTGAACACAATCCACACACTTGTTCACTTTATGAACATGGTTCATCGTTATGGTACTACCATTTGTCCCATTCTAACTGCATTGTTTTGTGCCGTTCAGCCTGCGAGGTGCTCAGGAGTAGAAGGTAAGCACACTCTTGTGGTTGCCTCTAATGAGCACCGTGGCTGGAAGGTCCTTTGTCAGAACGTCCAGCCAGGCCATGTAGAGGAAATCAGAAATGGATTCCTTACGAGCGATAGGCATGCTCCTGCAGAGGTTAACAATACAGACATGTTAGATACAGTTTCTATCAACACTGGATTCGGTTCAAGTGTGATGCAGACAACAACTGGTTATACTTACACAATGATCAGATTGGCTGATTTGGAGTGTTTCTGAAGAAGCTCATTCAGTCGTATCTGGAGGTTGGTCTGTAAAACAGCAGCACATATTTTAAAGTTTCAGTCACATTTTGCTGTTTAATGCACCACCTCCTAACCAAGATGATACATAAGTACATCTACGCTGTATAGAAGGTCATAACTTAATGTCAGTGGTTTTACCTTCTCCTCAAAGCTGCTCAGCTCTTCATCAGTGATTTTATGGGGGTGCTCGTTCTTCATGGCTGCAGCCTGACTAGCAGCTTTGGACCCCTCATGCAGACGGAAAGGCTCAATCATGTCATCGAACTTCTTCAAGCTGGAGGAATGCAGATAAGAACATGAGCTGACTGTGGATAATACTCTTATTTCTACATATAATATGCTGATATTATGAGCTGATTCAGTTTCACTATTACTTTTTCACCATCTATTCCTGCTGTAGGGAAATGGAGTTACCTGCTGTCACTGGGTTGGACGTGGATGTCATCGATAACGTTGATGTCAGTGCAGTTAATTCGGAATTTCTGCAGCAGAGACCTCATCCTGCGAGTCAAATTAACACAGTGATAAATTTAATATAAACATAGGTTGTGTATTTTAGGTTAATGCTTAATAACATTTTCTATAATGTGGTATTGCTGGCTATTAATTTTTATATCTGTATTTTTCCAGTTATGTACCCAATCTAACTCCCACACATTAAACTGTAATTGATGTAGAGGCATTAGTTGATTTGCTCACTCTTGTTTATCCAGCTCAGTGCGTCCAGGCTGGCCTGCGACGAAGATCCTTAATTTAGAGTCTTTCCACTTCTTCCTGGTGGTGAGGATGTAGGGTAGCAACAGGGTAAGACCTGAGAGATGAGAGACACAATTATATTTTTTATTGTAAAACCAATCCACTTTTTTTTTTATTATACAAACTATGTAACTTTTAAATCCAAGGCAGGTATGTTTTTTAAAATGTCGATTCATCTGCTTTCACTAGGATGTTTTAAAAACATTTTCATGAATTTAGTGGACAAATAAAGCTTTTTTGCTGTTACACTATTATTATCATCTAGTAAACCTTCAAAAAACCTGATTTTGTAAGTCATTAATATTAAACAATACATCTCAAGACTCTTAGCTTTGTGAGTTGCACTATGTAGAGGAACTATTCAGTGTTTACTTCCTTTTTTAGCAATATTTTTAGGTATATTTTACAATCTATTGTCAAGGTACATAAAAAAAGGCTGCCTGAGGACACTGACACCGACCTCCATCGTCGAACAGCCACCACACATCAATGGTGCCTTTAGGCTGTTTCTTCTTGAACTGAGTGCTGGCCTCCACCAAATTCTCATTCATCTTGGCAACCGCCGCGGGTGGAGGGCTACACACTGACACTGTGAGGGAGAAAAAGATATGAGAAATGAGGACACAACAGTAGAAGGGAATGTAATTCATTGACAGAGCGCGGAGAGTTAAGTTAGATGGGAAAAGTCACGCGAACCAACATTAGGAGCTGACTCCACATCAGCAGGAACAGCCATCTCTCAGGTCTAATGTTCCAATGAGTGGGACGCAGATTGTATACTAACGACCGGCGCTGCCTTGCCAAGATGCAGCTCAGTGCCGAGTGTGTGTTTGTGTGCGTGATACAGAGACAGAGACAGATAGAGTGAGGCTGTAAGCACCCTCTGCTGTCTGGGTTAAAGGAATGCTCTAAAGAGTTGCTCTTCAAACTGGAACGAAAGGGACCATATTATTGGATTACACCGTCAGAGACCTCTTTAGTGGGAGTGGTTGATTCAATTATATCTCAATGTGATTGTAGAGAAAATTCCTTAAAAAAAAAAAAGATGTGAGTCATTGCTTTCATTTGTTAAATGTGTGTTATTTTATCCTTTGACTCAGTGGAAATAAGAGTGCACGTGGAGGGGAGGGAGATAGATATGTACTTTTTCAGCATATTTAATATTCACACTCATCCATTAATGCAGCCTTGGCTTTGAACAGCTCAGTTGGAAGCATTTCTGTAATTTCAGAGAAAGACAAATCATTTCTAGATGGATACCTCTGGTTGCAAGCACTTGAGAGGATTTCCTGGACTTCCTAAACAGTCGTTTTCCTTTTCCTCCATTTGACATCATCTCTTTCTCCAGTTGTCTCTGCTCCTTCGCTGCCTTCAGCATCTCGTCTGTAAGACAGAAAGAGATTTCCACGCTGTCAATATGTCATACATGACTCAGAAGCACAGCAATAAACCGGTAGTTATTTTAGCACCTTATCTGTCAACTACCTGATACTCTGTAATCTACAGAACAAAGTACTCTGGCTTATCATTGCTATGTTTTTATAATCGGTTACTGTGTTTGTTTATGACAGCACTTTCAGACAAATGCTATTATTAATCTCTTGGTGGTTTAAAACTGTCAAACTGATTTGAAATCACTTCAGTTCAAATACAAACAGCTGTCTCTGTATTTTAACATTTCTGAGTCACATTTACTTTTTTTTCATTTATCGCCATGAATCTTTCTTTTTATATTAGGTCGTATTAATGTCTGCTGCTTGATTCATTTCACGTTGCAAGATACTTTTTTGCTTATAAGCATCACCGTTCCTGCAGATTAAATCACACAACCTGAAGAAACTTTCATACCGACCTTCTGCTTCAACAATGTGCGACACATCCAGTCCTTCGTCGATCCTCAGGATCATTGTTCCATACTCGTAGTCAAATGCATCGCTGTCAAACAGAGAGTCAGGACAGTTTGTTCAACACACAGATTTCCTATCCAGATTTAATTACTGAGTGTGCTATTACTACATGTATGTATGTGTGTGTGTTTATTTGTGACTTACTGCAGTATTCCCACATAGCTCTGCACTGCTTCTGTTCCTGCAGTCTTCCAGTGTTTCTTAAACCCTATCATTAAGGTGTTGGGCTTCATACGGCCAAGACCAGAAGCCTGTAACGAAATGCACAACACATATAGCATGAGGACATATCTTCAAATCAGCTGTTAACTGAAGCAACACAGGCCCCATGCTACCCTGAAGGAGTAAAACGTAGTGTCTTCATTAGCTGCAGAAGAAGGGAGAAAAAAACAACTCTCCAGAAAGTTTCAAAATGTCCCAGACAAGAAGGCTGTGAAGCTGTTTTACTGCCAGAAGTTATGACCAGATCACTCAGCAGATCTCATTTTGTGAGCAGAGGCTCATCCGATGCAGTGTTAATCAATTATAGCTTTTAATCTGTCTCCTTGTTTGAAGTAAGCAATCCTGACAATGAACACAGGCCTTATCTCGGGAGTGCGATAGTCAGAGCCATAATACTGTTTTCCTGCTCCTCATTAACTCTCTCCTCCTCTACCTCCTGTCCTGGCCAGATCCTTAACACAGGTCTAGGCCAGAGTCATAACACGGCAATAGATACTCAGTGCTGTGAGGAAGAAATGGGTCAATAAAAGCCGCTTCTTCAAATCTGCCGATCAAAACTTGCAGGTTACACATTAATTGAATGGCTTATTCTGGGTTAGTTGCTTTTTTTTGCCTCTTCTCAGAGAAATGAGCTGTAAATCACAACCATACTGACCTGCAGCAGACTATCAGTTCCTTCCCTGAAGTTGTTACAGGTCACAGCAGCATAAAATGCCTTGCGGTTGGCCTTCCTAAGATATAGCTGGTTCCTCTCCATTCCAGCGTTCATCTCTTCAAGACACTCTGCTCGTGGGCCCTAAAGAAATCAAAGCACACAGCACCATGTAAACATTTGTTTGAAGAGGAAAGAGCTCCGTCATGCACCTTTTTTATATTCAGAAGACACACCTGACCCTAAACTTTAGTCTCAGTTGTCCAGACACTTGGCATTTTCCCTCATCCCTGCTTGATATTCTATTAAATATCCAGTGCATGTGAAGTGTGCACTCTGCAAAATTAAATTTGCTCGATGTGCAAATCTTGATTTGAATACAAGGTTGATATTTAAATGAATTTAAAAAAAAAGAAAAGAAAAACACAAGAAAATGTGCCGAGTTTTGCATTAGTAGATAATGAGATTACAATACAACCTACCACAAACACTTCACAGGTGATGCAGAGTCCGTAGTTCTTAGTGAAGGAGTGAGCCAGGTCCAGGAGAGCGGGCCTGGTTCGTGGTGGACCCGTCAGCGCTAAGATCTGAGGCCTGAGGAAGAAACAAGAACGTGCTACAGTTATCACTTATTGTGTGTATTGTTATATGTATTTTGTTTGATTTCAATGTTTCAGATGTTTTACATATTCTTCTATCAATCAGTTTTCTTTTGCCCACAGTGATACAAGCAGACATTTACCTGAAGTTCTTCACGTGATCCTCGACACCAGACAGAGACAGAGTGTTGCTGACCGCACTCACAAACGTCACCGCCTGTGTGGACGAACCCCAGTTCACATCTGGAGATAAAACAAGAGTCGTAACAGGTTAGTTCTACCCTGCGGGCGAAAAGCGAAAAGCACTTCCCAGCAAGCAAACAAGCTCACCTGGTTTCTTCACTGTCACATAAATGTAGAGGAGGATTTCAATGCCATATGTGAGCAGAGCAGCCCACCAGTTGATGACAAACATAACAACGCAGCAGAGCACCGCTCCCAACAGGGATAGCCACATGTTGTAGAATTTGTATGCTGGTCTCCAGCCTGGGAAAAGAAAGACAGAAGAACAACCACATTAAGTAAATGCAGACTTCTTCAAAAGTGATGCGAAACAGAATGCACAGAAAACAAAATCCATGATATGCCCTGTTGAGTCCTAAAATCTAATAATCTCATCCAGCTCAGTTTGTCCTCAGAAATAAGGTGCTATTTGTGCTAGTACTTTGTTTTGATATATTTACACAGTCACATATTTTTTATATTTTGATGTATTTATTTAACCTTTGTTTAACCAGGATTAAAATCTCTTTTTCAAGTGAGACCTTGACAAGAAGGAATTTACAAATACTATGAAACCGAATCTGACGCAGATAAAAGCAAAAACTGTGATATCATTGGATGGAAACATGATACCTGAGAATGTTTACTTTATAAGCTAGTTGATAGAAACCTACCTGGAGAATTGGCATAAGATGCATGGAAGCAGGAGAAATTGATGAGAGCATAAGACGCCAGGAAGAAGTTGGAGATGATGGGAGCGATGGCGTTGAGATCACCTACGAAGACAAAAAAAAACCCCATCTCAGTCAAATTACATTATTTCACAATTCAGTCTGCTGTTTTTGAGGCTTCATGAACAACACTTGGCCGTTCGTGTGGATATGTGAGACGCAAATGAGATGATTTGACGAGAGCAGCTCAGAAGACCGATTTTTACCTGGGTCATTTTGCACAGACACCACTCATTTCAGTGAAACATTCATGACACTTTCAGTATTTTTTTGGTCAGTTAGGGCTCCTATAGGCTTGAGCTGCTGGAGGGACTTTTTCAGATTCTTTCTCTTACGCTCCTCTTTTGTAATCTCCATGCAAGTATGTGCTGCTGTTGCATTTCATTAACTTTGTGTCTTCTCTCCCTAATAAATGGTGTTTTTGCTTTTCTATCGTCTGGAGGTATCTCTGGTTCTGAAGCGGCATGTTTCTTATCTGCAACCTGCCCAGTTTTTATTCCATACAAACTGTTTTGCACAATTTTCTTTCTTTACTCTGCTTATGATACAGCTTAAACTCAGAGTTTATGCACGCCTACCCACCTGCAATATGAGCAAGTATCATCACTGGTGCAGTTGTCTGCCTCCTTGCTCTGCTTATCCTTACCACACTAACCTTATGAGCACACTGTGTACCAACTAAGCTGTTCTATAATTAATACTTTGAATGCTGGCTGTCTTCATTTTATCCACTCTCAGTCTTATATGCGCCATCTTTATGCATCATGTAATCTTGTTTGTTTCATGTATATCTGCTGCATGCAAGCTAATAAGCTTTATCCCTATGCGTGAATGAATTTATAGGCTTGCTTCTTATTCTGTCTTCTGTCCACCAGCCCCCTCTTTTTTCTATCTCTCTCTCTCTCTCTCTCTCGACACAGCCTCAAGCAGATGAGTCCTCCCTTATGAGATGGGCTCTGCTCAAGGCTTTTTCCTGCTTAAAGGGAGGTTTTTCTTTGCCACTGTCACCTTAGTGCTTGCTCTGGGGGATTCAGACTCGGGTTCTGTAAAGCATCTTGAGACAATTTTTTATTGCTATTGGCGCTATTTCAATAAAACTGAATTGAATTGATGTTCAGTACAGACTGTTCCTGTACAAAGAAAGATGGTCTGCTGATGTCTGGCACAGACCTAAATTAAGAACATATTGTCTGATGAAAAACACCTACAGTGTGCAAAACAGGATTTATCTAGAAGTCGCTAGTACAGTGCAGTTACGTTCAGGAAATAAAAGAAACTTGATTATTGATGGGATTTTAAGAAACCTGAGCTGTGCTTTAGAGAGGAAACCTTTTGTGTGGGTTATGATGTGCATAGTGCAGACAAAATGTTCTTTGGTTTGCAATGTATGCTTATGTGCATGGGACAATGCCTGTCTAACAGTAAACAGTATATTAGCCTGGTTGCTCATTTGAAGCTTAAAATACACTTTAAGATAAAGTGTGAGATGTTAAAACATGTTGAAAGGATGTTAAGATGACGATGAACTGACCGATGAGAATGAAGGCCACAGAAATAATGAATGTGAGGACGTAACCACGGATTGGCTCGTTGTTCCTGCCGTATCCTTTGGCAAAGAAGTGCAGTATCTTGTAGATATTGTCTTGGCACAGTGCCTGAGAATAGACAGAGCTTCAGTTAGAAATGATTTCCAAAAGTTAGTAAAGAACAAACGTGACTTCCTCTAAAACTGCATTCAGAAAAGAAGTAGTGAGACGCTGACCTGGAAGACTTTAGGTGCACTGACAAGGGAAGCCAGAGCTGATGAAAGTGTGGCTGAGAATGTTCCAGCAATGATGAGGGGACCGAACCCTGACACCATGGTCATCACCTGAATCAGAGGCGACGATAGGAGAGCATTAAGAAGGAGGGGAATAAAAGGCTTCTTCTTATATGCAAATTATTTCGAAAGGCTGTTTACCTGGAAGTTGTTCATCAAGCCAAAGTTGCATTTTTCTCTTTCACAAATGGAGAAATCATATCCAAGTTCACAGGCAACTGCTGTTGAACCATTGCAATGCACCATTCCAGGATTGAGGATGGCATCTGTTATATTTCCAGTGGCATCACGGACAACGGTAGCAGCTGACCAATGAAAGGGAAGAGCAAATGCATTGATTTGGATTTTTTTAAATGTATTGTTTGCATGTGTTATCAGGACAAATGTATCTTGTGGGACACAGAGTCTAAATTAGGTGTACTAACTGTAGCTGTAATTGTGTTTTTAGTTACTTACTCCTTGTTTAATCTGATTTAACCCCATTTAAATGCAATACTCATTGCATTTCATGAATTATTGTACTTACAGACACAAAGGGCCACTCCCAGGTAGGTGATACCTGTGATCAGGATGGCCAACAAGGTACCTTTAGGTATGGCCTTTTGGGCATCCTGTAAAATAACACAAATCTGTGTTAGACAATTTCATAACAGAGGCAATGAAGAAAAACGACAAAAAAAAAAAGACAATCAAAACTGCAAGTGAATACTTATATTAAAGCTTTTCTAATGCAATCCCAATGATTCACACACAGTAAAAAGAGCAAAGCTAATGATTCCTGTCACCTCTGTGTGGGGGAAAAAAAAATAAAAACAAAAAAGTTACCCGCAAGTCTCCAGAGATGTTTGCTCCAGCCAGGATCCCCGTTGCCGCAGGGAAAAAGATGGAAAACACGGAGAAAAATGTTTCTTTATCCCTAAAAGCTGGCTTAAAATTGTCTAAGAAGATTTTCGCTGTGGAAAAGAGAGACAGGAAGGGAATGCTTTGTGAGTGAATAAAATCTTTTTTATTTTTTTGTAATGAAGTTGTGCATTGGTTTGGAGAGGGTGACTTACAGTTATAATTGAAAAAGCCTTGGGATTTCTTGCTCGTGGTTGCAGGGATGAATGTTCCCACGATTACGTTCACAATGGCCACCAACAAGATAACCAGCAGAACAATCTGTGCCTGTGTGGACAGATAAATAAAATTGATTAAAGGTATGGTAGGACGCTTTACCACAGAGCGAACAATTACTGGGGAACAACCAGCATCTCTCACCTTTGCCTCCCATTCCATTCCAGCAACTGATATGCCCAAGAGCAACACAACTGTGATGACTCCAACGATTCTGATGTCATTTAGTACATCCACCATGAGCACATCATACTCCTGAGAGGAGAGAAAAAAGAGGAGAAAAAGAAGATGTACGGGTGAGTGTACAGTCACATGTTTTTGAATGAGACGTTTCACCAGTTCCTTCGACAACCACCTAACTATTACAACATCACACACCTTGAGCAAGTCCACCACTGTCTCAGCAAATCCCACCACATACATGGCCACAGCCACCGCATTGGCAAAGGCGAAAATCAGACCAATCGACCCTCCAAACTCTGGTCCCAAACTGCGAGATATCAAGTAGTAGGCCCCTCCTGAAATGGCGACATGAAGCAGACACATACATGCAGTAGTGGATGATTAATCACCACATCACCGGCTGATTGATTTAACGTCAGAGCAGTTTGAGCAGGCTGTAAAAATGAGAAAAGGCTTCAAGAGGTGACATTCAGGTGAAGCTTCGAGCCTCTTTATCTGCACACATTGTCCTCCTGCCTGTTTCGTTCTGAAAGATTTTGTGTCAAAATGAGCGTGCGTTATCTCAGGTAATATAAATTTATAAATAATGTTTTAACCGTCGCTGTTGGCTGCTGTGGGTGTTGTGAGTTATGAATGAAAGGCCTGCATGAAAGGTTAGTCAATAGCTGAATTCAATTATCTCGCCTCTCTACTTTTCTGACTATGAAGTCGTCTCGTGTGCATTGACTCACCTCCTCTGACCACACCATTAGTGCAGATGGCAGACATGGAGAGACCAGTGATGGTGGTGACCACACAGCTGAGAGCAATGACCACAATTCCCAGACCTGAAATGCACAAATGTAACCGGTTAAAACAAATATCTCAACTACAACTATTCCAGCATTATATCGAGGTGGTCAGTCACAAAACACTTGCTCTTCCTCCCCACAGTTTCCTTTAAACACACTGAGAGTTAAAGCTCAATAGGAACCTGGGGGCTAAAAGTTACAGTCATCTGCTGTACCTGCTCCGCCTGCTGCCGGCAGCTTTCTCTGCCTCTCAAAACCATTTAGTTACGCTGCCTGAACAAAAGCTGCCTCTGATCGATAGGTTCTTAGGCAATGAACACACTCATGAAGCCATTCACCATTTCCCCTCCCTCTCTCGTGCACACACAGAGTTCTGCTCATATAAGTTTGGCTCACAGAAAAGGCCTTCAGCAAGTGTAGATCATTACAGGAGCTCAGAGAGGCTAGTTAAATTGCATCTGCCCCAATTCAGTCATTCCCAGCTAATGAGTGGGGGACTATGTAATCCTTTAATTGTCTCTAGTCATTGCAATTACTGCTAACAGCACCCTAATTTGTCCCGAGAACTTGTGGGATCTGTCTTCAGTTGACGAAGACAACTTTGTTAACCTGAAAATAAACCTGCTTCGACCGGGCGGGAGAGTCATGTTTGGGCCTGACTCACTTAAGTTAAGTCAAGTTTATTTAAGTCACATACATCTAGTGAGCTTTACATTGGCAGCAGTTCCCAATCTACTCTGAGCTGTGTAATAGGAAAACTCCCACCGCAAACGTGAGCACGTGTAGATCAATAGAAGATAGGCATAGGTAGAAAATAGCAATTATGCAGCATACAGTAAGAAATGCTGAAGAAATGTGCGCTTAGGGACTTTGAATCAGTGTGTCCTTGTCTCACTCACCCCAGCCTGCCTGACCGAAAACCCAGGACAGACGGATGAACAACATGACACCCCAGATGTTCAGCATGCATCTCACCTGTGCAAGGGAAGAACAATTTAAGTTCAAAGTCAACACTGTGGGTCGTAATTTATTGTTCCGTCAAGTGGCACAGTAATGTTAATGAGCACACTTAAATATATGTAATAGACAACTTCGATTTCAGCACTAGATGACATATTGGGGTAATTTTAAAATAGCTCTTGAGAAAATGCAAATGTCCCCCCAGACTCTGGCCCTGCTGTGTTAATCGAGACACATGGAGCCTCTGACACACTGTCAGGTCACAGTTTTGTAGAGCGACCCGGCTTATATAAAGCAAAGGGAGGGGGGGGTGCTTGCCGTGACAGAACATAACTCACCAAGACGCCCCTTATCCAGCCAAACTTTACTGCTCCTTTGCTGCTGTCGGGGGGAAGTCCAGACTCCAGATCATCAGAGGGGGTCCCGTCACTCCCCTCGTCGTCCTGCACAGTGTCTGGCACTGAGATCGCTCCATTCTGTCAGAAGAATTTGGAGGCAAAAATAAGGAAAAGGAAACGTGTGAATTTGTTTTAATACATATCTTTGATTTTAGCACACTGGGTGTTAAGATACATTTTTCAGTTGGAAGAAATGTTTTTGAGAAGTCTCTCGCGCAAAGCTTTTTCTGGTCTCTGCAGATAGCCGTACATATTCACAATATATTTTGGAATATGTCTTAAACAGGAATCCCCCATAATTGGTTTCATTTTCTTTTTCAAGATCTGTCATTTTTTAAAAGCAGTTCAGAAATGCGAATCTAGTGCAGCCTTTAAACCGAAGTGACCTCTAATCCCGACTGGTTTGCAATACATCGCAATAAAAAGCAGTAAAAACTCTAAAGTGTGTCAAGTGTGTTGACTGCTGCTGAGGTAATTTTTTAGAGCCCTGTTTAGTTTCTTAAGTTTGTGAGGAAGTTTGAATGAAAGAACGATTTCTCATTTCACTTTGTTTTGAGTCTTTGATCTTAATGAGTGAAGTGTGCAATTACAGAGTCACTGACTTGAATTTGGGACTCAGGGAGTAAAGCAAGTGTAAGTTACTTTCTATAAAAGGTGAGACGAAAGCCAAACATACATATTGTAAGAGACAACTGAGGGCAGAACATGTATTATAAGAAAAGACAGATAGACAGCAAGAGAACATAAGCGACAGAGGTCTTTATCATTCATATTTACAATATAACTCACAGACATTCATGCACTCACCTTCTGAAAGACATCATGGAGCTCCTGCAGCGACGGTCGCACAGCTCGGTGACCGCTCACGCTGCCTGCATTGCGGTAGAAGTCAATGTTGGGCACTCGATCTAAAGTGTCATGACCAAAGGCACTGACCACCGAGGGCCGGACCGTCCTGTGATCCCCGTCAGAGAAGTTTGTCTCCTCGTAGAGAGGAGGTTCATCCAGGGTGCTATCATAACCGGGGTTAACGTGCTCCCCTCCGTTAGGCTTGTACCTCTCCATCAGGTATGCTGAAGGAGATTCTCAGATTTAAACAGTCAAGGATAAAGCAGCAGTGTAGGTCTTAAGTCTTCCGACATCCAATAGTTGTTTTTGAAAGAGCAGATCACTGCATCAACTGGCGTGGTTATCCTCGTTTATAGATGTATAAACTAGGCTAAAGATTAGACTTGAAGAGATCTCTACTTCTGCTGCCCTGAGCTTCTCTTGCATGAGCTTGGTTTGTCTTGACTGACCTACCTTTATACCCTGCATCCCAGGGTCATGCACTGGCTGCCAGCTATTGGTTAACTCCCTGGTTCAACCCTCAGAAAAAGTGAACGAGGGGTGTCAGATATGTCCTTGCTCCATCCTAGGGGACACAAAGGCATTGCTTAACGATTAACCAAGTCATAAAAGCCAAACGAGAGATAAAGGCGCTCATTGCCTGAGTTCTGAAGAATTGATTACTAATATTATTGTCTGAAGTGCAGGGCAACAGCACATGTTGTTCTGTGGTTGCAGTTTATGAGGCTGTGAATAGTATTTCCTCAGACCGATGGAGCCTTTGGATGAATCACCAAGAAACATCCACATGGAGGTTCCCACTAGAAGAAAGCCTGCATAATCAAATCGGAAAAGTTTCAAGGTTTCGTAGTCTTTATGACAGGTGTGACTATGAGAGAAAATGATAAGGGTAATATGGTTTGATAAAAACAATATTAGCTATACACACAGATAGGGTAGGAAAGGATATAACTAATATAAAAATAGTTTTATGAGTGAGTAAGCGCAATCTGACAGCAACTACTGTAAGATATTGGGCTTTAAAAAGTTATAACACTGATTAAATAAATGTTGTCTCTAATGATTCTCCACAAATTGTTAAGAGGGGAAAATTAGCGGGTTGGCTCGCGTGGAAGAAATGGCCATATTCATGAGGAAAATGAGAGTTAATATAAGACCATGAATTACGGGAACACGCCGGGGGCACTTGACTGGAGCCACATGACTTCTAAAGTGCCTTTAAAAGATCTCTTAACAGGTAAACTTCCTTATTACTGATACACCACAGTGATTTATGCGCACGGTGAAAGGCAGGCTAATGACTGGAAATCTGACCTTGGCTGTATTGCAAGCTGAGAAAAATACTCCAGCACGTGTTTTTATGGGCAGATTGAAAGCAGGCAATCAATTTCACAACGCTTATCAGATTGGAAACACAGTGGTCCTGTTGTGATTTTCTACATGAATGACACTGACTGAGTCATAGTGAAGAAACTGAATTTTTCCATGTGAAATGCAGTGCCTGCTGCAGTACAGCTTTCCTTTTCCCCTTCTTGCCTCACCTCTGTTTGTTAATCTGACTGTAACAGGTCATTTTTACATTTAAACTTCAATTTTGTGAGGCGTGGTTGTGGTCAGATGTAGAATGTATTTTGCTGTTTAGCAGACAGAGGTCTTGTTCTATGCAACGCTGCAGCTTTCGACAACACTTTATTTGAGGACAGCTTCATAATCATGGCGATCTCTTTAATGAATGTTGTCAATAATTTTTGGTGCCAAGTTGTTTGAGATGTCTTTAGTAGGAGGACTTGCCAGTAAACAATTCAACATAAATTGTCCATGTCTTTGTCATGACAACTTGACATTGATTGGGCGTTGAGGGTTAAGGGTTATATAACTAATGTTTAATGACTAGTCTAAATCGTACAGCTAGAGTTGAGGCCATGGAAAATATTCGCCATACAAATCTGATAGACTCATGACAGCCAGTTATGACCAAGTTCATGTGGCAGTTAAATGTGATGTAAGGTAAACACATAAAGCTAAATAATTTCTTTAAGTTTGAAAATTATGCTGTGCCATGTCTTACATTATGCAAGTTAGTGTCCTGTTATCACATCCAACAAACAGAGTTAACTTTGCATGAAAAATGACATAACTGACTAAATGACACTGAATGCACCAGTCAGAAACGTTTCGTAAAGACCAATCCTTCATGTTCATGACAGATGCCATGCCATAGTTATGACCGTGTTATGTCAGTCTTATTCACACCCCTTGGAGTAAAGCGTTACCCAGACTTCGTATTGCAGTTAGTGATTATCAGACCCTGCTGACTCTCCCGCAGTCTGGACTTGAAATTAAGGTGATTTTCTTTAATATCAAGGCTGCTTCATGTTATTCCGCTCTGCATTAGTAAGTTCACAGTGCTCCTCAGAGAACTGTAGAGCCTGCACGGTGATCCGGTGGCAGCAGGTGCACATGCACCAATTTGTAAAGAGACCAGGGGAATCTGCACTCCAGTTAACGTCCAAAGGGCTTAAAAGAAGCTGAAAAATCCCTTTGCAGCATTTATCAAGCCGAGCTCTGCCCACTGCAACGTGAAGAAGTCATTAAATGCAGGGGTGCAGATAGCAGCTGACAGGATTCTTGATACTACATCTTAAAAGGCTGCAATAAACAGAAGGGTGGGTAAACCCTATAGTTCAGTCAGCATAGACCTGCTAAGTATGTATGTCAATCAGGAGCAAAACAAAATACCTTCAGTCAAACACAGCCTATTCTGCATGCTTTGTTATCGCGAAGTGAAAGAGGTTAACATAAAACAAAAACAAAAACAAAAAAAAACAGACATCTAAGAAGGACCTTTGGGTGCAGCATTATATAGATCAAAACAAGTGAGCCTAAAATTAGAAAAAGAGGGAATAAGTGTAAAGCTGACAGATCCATGCTGTAGATATTTGTGTACAGATCCTCATGATCTGCTAACTGTCCCAAAGCCCAAAACTAAAGCAACCTTTCGACCCTCAGAGTCGCTGCTGTGGCCTGTCAGAGGCATCTCTCTGCAAATTCAGATATTGAGATAATTGAGATTTTTTTATTTTATTTTATTTTTTTAACTTTCTTCATTGCTTGCAGAATAAAATGTCTTATTATGGTGTGATTTGAATTGTTCAATTTTAATTAGAAGATTTTCTTTTAACTGAAAAACGTAATATTTCTTATTTTATCATAATTTTAAAGTAACATTTACCTGCAAATAAGCAAGAAACAGAATATCCTAGAAGTGAACATATTAGTTCATAGTTAAGTGCAGTTTTGAACAAATAAATAATAAAAGTAAATTATTAAACCTAATAGTTTTCTAATCATTGATAGCCGTTAAAACATTCATGTGTATCATGACAGGTAATCCATAAAGACCTCTACATGTGCTCAAAAGGGTTCATTCCAAGTCAGAAATCAAACAATGCTGTTGATCAGGTTTCAGATTTGACATAAAGGCTCTGATGTGAGATTTTAAGTTGGCTCCAGCTCCAAAATAATATTAATAATAACAAAACATACTGGCTATGATTTTCAACAGTTCACTAACGTGACTGCCTAAAACCCTTTCAGGAAAACTTCTGTACCAAGAGTGGAATCACTGTACCACAGCACGAGCTTCGGTAATAAAAATTGTACCTCTTGGTCTTATCACAACAAATCAAGGACATGGCTTGTGAAGTCCGAAGACCAGAAGTAATAAAACTAATGATTGATAATCAGTGAAACTAAGGTTCATGTCATCAACCCTGTACTATGTAACAAGGATTCTGCAAGCACTCCGGTTTCTATTTTATTATAAATATAGCAGCCAAACCACACTGTGTGCCCAGTCAGGTAAAGGAATATAGTTGTAATTATCCTGATTATTATTGATATATATTTGCTATATGTAAAAAAAACAAAAAAACAAATTAGATCAAAAATTCTTCCTTTTGCATAATGAAGGGAAAGAGATTTGTGGTATTTTAAAATAAACTTCAGACAGAATATGACCTGGCTGCACAGTGACATATAAAAATACAATGCAAAGCAGATGCATTTGTTAAAATTTGACGGGTAAGCCTTATTACTTGTCGGGTTTCTTCTAAGTGGGCTTGTAGGGTGAAGAGGAAGAAAAAAGGACTGTGTTTTTTTCCACTAAAAATAGATTTCAGATAAGGATGTCACACAGGTGACATAGATAATGGTGCAATAATGATTGCATTCCTGCTGAGGGAGGTCTGCATGGCGGTCCCCCGCTTGTGAACCGGCCACAGGAGGTATGGCTGGTAACCTCTGCAGCTCGAGAGCTGTCTTATCACCACAAGACTGTAGTGTATCACTTTCTGCTGCTGTATTCGCCCCCTGGCTCTCTCTCTCTCTCTAAACCATGCATATACATTGACTTGCATATCATAAAATGCTGTGAGAGAATCTGCTACTGCCAGTCTTATAAAAACAAATCAGACTGCCTATTTTTTCTCCAGTGTTTCTCTAATGCACTCTCTTGCTCTCTCCTCGTCTGTTGCCGCAGCGATGTCGGACGACTACGGCCAGAGTTTTTAGAAGCAAATACGACAAAAAGGCTTGAAATTCTCATCAAGGGGTTATTCTGAGCCATTTCCTTTAACATGCTAATATGCAAAATTGATTTCTGCTGCTCCATCAATTTCACATAAGAGAGCCAAAAAATGCAAAGACTTGATCAGCAATATTTTAAAGTGACGAAATTCTATTTATTTCACATCATTGAATCAAATGAAATCAAGGCGAAATCTCTACCACCGGCTGAGCAAGCAACAGGTCTGTCATCATGATATGACACGCACGCACACACATACGCACACACACACACACCCACACAAACAGGTGCTCTAATGTTTCTAGATGAAGGCACATAAACCCATTGAAGGTCACAGTAAGGCAGATTCACAGCACTAAGGAGAAACCGTAGACCGTTAAAAATTAGCAAAGGAACACTCCAGACTTTGAGCAGTCTGCCGTATTACAGAGTCTCTGTTAAGGACTGTCCTGTCTTCCTCTGTCTGGAAGGAAGAGAGCAGGTGAGAAAGGTTGAGGATGGCTGAGAATAGAGGAAAAAGATGTTCACGTGCAGTGCTGGCACACATCGCACCCCTGTTTTCCATGTGACCTTTTCCTTTGCAGACAGGTAGTGAGAGTTTCTCCTTGTCGTGAAGAAACTCGCAGCGCTGAGAGTGAGAGAGTCCTTCCTAGTTCTTAATCCTCATTCCCCACAAAAGTTCTTTGGCTTGATCTCATCAGCCAACCTTTAGACAGAAAGCTTGTCAGAGGGAACAGTTGACAATTCATAAAGCAACATTATCATATGCCTTTTCAGACATACTGTCAGAAGTAAACAGTTGTGTGTTTTTTTTTTCTCTTTCACTCAGACATGTAATTGTGGCAACATACAGTATACCGTCAATCAATAACAGCAGCAGTACAAACTCTGAGAGTTGATTTTGCATCATGTAGAAACAGTAACACCATAATGTAAATCACAGTTTGTTCAGTTGCCTTTCATCTCATGACCTCGGAAAACAAGACACCGCAGAAAGGACCAATCTGTGCACACAGCAGCAGCAGCAGCACCCCTTTGGATCACTAACGGATTGGATTTGATTAGTCCACAAAGCACTAGTTTGACATAATACCCTGTATCCACCCAAATACATTCTTGTGCAGAGCGGTTCTGCTTTGCAGAGGTGCAACCACTCTGTATCCCGTTCTAAGTTCACATAAGGATTCGTGTCCCTGAGTCTTCAAACTATATCTGAACAGTCCGACTGCACGCTAATTTCCCACCCTGTTCCACAAACGCTCACCTCTTACCACCTCTAAGCATCTACAGACATTCAACTTGTAGGCATGGGTTAAAGGGAGCTTCAGCCAAGTTCTGTGTAAATCGATGAGCTGAAATACACACCCCCTGGCAGAAGGGCAGAGAATATGACACAGCATCTGCCTCACACTCGGTCACACACACACACACACACGCACACACAGACACAACAAACATGTAGTCACAGACAGTAGAGAGACTCTGACTCTGAACTAACAATGCACACACATTGAACAGCATACACAGCTTCAGTGTCTTAGTCGGTGCGTCACAGAAAGATGTCTTATTGGTGTGTCAGGTGCAGTGGTTGTGCAGGGCTGTGGCTTCTGTGTGTGTGTGTGTGTGTGTGTGTGATTGTTTGCGAGTGCATTTGTGTCTGTGTGTATGTGTTTCTATAGACATTTCTGTTTGTGAGGACATCCGTGGATGTGTGTGTCCCTGTGTTAAGTCAGGGCGTACTCAAACGTCCCTTTCTCCAGTCCCTCAATGCCATCGGCCCAGTTGGAGGAGGGCATGCTGCTGTAGGGGTCCAGCAGGATCCTGAAACACCTCACTATTAGCAGCCCCAAGAACACCAGTAGCATCCCCACAAAAGCAAATGCTGTCTTCTGCTCCAGAGTCAGAGAGTGCGCCATCATGTCGTTTCCGCTCATGGCAGCAAGGGAGTGGTTGTAGTGGACGCTACTCATGGTAAACCAACATCTAGGTGCCTCATCTCTCCTCTGATAGGGTCAGGCGTTTAGAAGCCTGCATGTTACCTGGACAGAGGTTAAACGATGGCTTCAGATTAGTGCTGTCTGGTCTGTTGTGCAGAGAGAATCCATTTTTTTTATGAACCTGTTTAAGTATTATCACAATTAATGCATACACTGCGTAGGCTGAGAGGAAGAAGAGAGCAGATATGGTGGAAGAAATAAAGAAATTCCACATTTAAATGTTGAAGCTGAATAAAACATGAAAGGTTACAGGTATCTATATATAGCCTCTTTTTAATGTGGTATCAAACAGATGTCCGGAGACTTCGATCTCTCTCTCTCTCTCTCTCTCTCTCTCTCTCGTTCTCTCTCTCTCACTTTGCCCCTCTGGGAATTTTTGCAGGAAAATTTGCAAACATGAACAGAGGAGTGAGAAAGAATGCTGGAAAAGGGGTCCAGGTAATCGAGCCAATGCCATGGCTACATTCCTCTAAGTCAGGTTAGAATTACAGTGTGTCGCAGTGCATAGTCAGCTCTTAAACATAATCAAAGCGGTGAGGGCTCAATGAGAGCGTCACATCTCATGAAGATGGGATGTTACGTATGTTTGGCTTAGAAGAAAGGGATCTCTACCTGTTGCGTGTGAGCAGATGTCTGCCAGACAGTGTAATTCCGTTAGGCGGTAAGAAAGCGACGGTAATGGACCAAACATTATCGCAAAATTGATGGGTTTGGTCACACAAGTGGAAGTCTGCTTCTGTCATTCTTTTCCTCCCAAATCTTTCACATGAACACAATCAGCAGCAGGTGGCTCGAGTGAGGGGATGGGAGGGGAGGGAGGGGAGGATTTGGAGGAGAGAGGGAGGATGCATACAGGCAGGGACAGGGCAAATTAACACAGAGAATTGGGAAAGACAGGCGAGGAGAAAGGAAGTGGAATGATGAGGAGGACACTGCACAAGTATGCATGGTGAGGAGAGAGAGAGGGAGGGAGTGAGGTAGGGTGAACGAGAGAGACTGCATTGACAGATTCTCTAGTGAGGATGTCTAAGGAAGAAAAAGCAGGCGTCTCACCATCATTATCGTGCCATCCTTACAGACCTGTTGCTGCCGTTTCTCGCGAACAACTCCCCCTTCTCGGATCCTTCAGACATATATCCATTAATCCATCCATTGCTGGCACACTGGGTGTGCTAGGCTAACTGCCCATCTAAGCAAAAAAAAAAAAAAAAACAAGGAAAAAAACAGCTGGAGGTAAAGAGAGAAACAGAGAAGCAGGGCGAAAGGCTGGATCAGGCTGTTATATGTGTCTCTTCTGAGAGATACAGCTCCTGTCCTCATGCTCCTTTACTTGCTGCCTCCTGCTCATTATCATTCTGTTTCTCTATCTCCCCCTCCAGAAGCACGCACGCTTGCTCCTGCTGCATGGCAACCACTTGTTAGTCTCACTCAGCTGCTCTGATGCCTCAGTCATTCACAACATTCACCCCCCCTCCTCCTCCTCCTCCAGCAACACCAGGATGGATGCAGCAGCATAAACAAGCAAATCTGCGTCTTCTCTGTCTTCTCTCCTCACTCTTCCCCCCCTTATTTGGCTTTTCTCAAAATGACTCCCCCAAAATCTTACAGGAATATCACGGCTTAGCCAGCAGGAGAAATGCTGCCTCTTACTGTTCCCAGCCAGTAAATGCTGCTGCAAAGGTATTTTCGGTACAGCACAGCATTATCCTCCAAGCCGGGTCTGATGATGTGTCTTTAATTGGTGCTGTTTTGCTGTGGCAAAATTGAATTAGCCCCTCTGCTTAAAGGCTAACAAATGCGAGGCTGCCAGGACATGCTGAGAGGAGATAAGACTGGCATTTAAACAGGTTTTACAGTATTGAATGAAAAGCAGGACATGGAAACAATCAGCAGGTCATCTGATAGCCCACTGTAAGAGAATGCAGCAGTGAAGTGTCTGGCCATCTGTTTCGATGTTATGCAGTGCAAATTCATATCAGCAATGTAGTTTTTGTCACAGTGGTGCAGTGACTCGGATCTGAGGATAAGGCATGCCATGAGGGAGATGGTCATCACTGGTGTGCGATGTGCAATATTTCATGGTGCCATTTTTTTTTGGTTTGTATTCAGTTGTAAACAGCAGAATAATTCCCCGAGAGAATATTCACTTCCAAGTTTATGCCTCTGCAGTGTCTTCTGAGTGGTGCTTTTCTCGGGTCAGAAGCAGTTTCTAGTCCTGCTGTGTTGCTGATTCTTGAGGTAAACATGTGGCACTGCTTATGAATCATTTTTATTTCACACTTACTTTAGTCTCTCCATATGAGATACAGAGATGTCACTGTCATAACAATGAAGACTTTAGACATTTTGCCTCAGTGCTCTCATTAAATGAAAAGGTTAAAATGCAAGACTCTTGGCTCACATTGCAGCAGTACGTTGTCATTCGTGATGAAGTTACAGACAGTAACTGAATTGCATGTCGGATATTTTAATCCATGCTGTGAATTTGCTTGGAGATAATTTCATTCATGATAAAATAAAGGGAAGCTCAATGACATCAAAGGACATTTCCTTTATCATATCTGTCAATTTACCTGTCAAGATTCTTGGATGTGCTTTGGACTCTTATGGCTCTGGGCAGGAGAGAAACTGTTGAGACACCAACCTGTAAAGCATATTAGAATATTATCCAGTGTTCATAGGACATACTAAAAAAGACTGATTGACTTTTATCTCAGCTGGACTACAGATCAGACCCAAAGCTGATAGTGAGAACTATAAAACAATGATTCTATGAACTGCTCCAACAGGATCCCCCTGTAATGCCCATGAACTCCACACTGCACTCTTGTGTAATAATATAATCTTACAAGAAAGCACAAAGACAGATGCAGCGAAATTGCAAAGATTTTAAATACTTTACGAGGCCTCCCCATTAACCTAACTGCAGCAATTACTAATTCTCCTGAGGCCCACAACTTAATTAAATATACATGCTCCATTGAAAATTTAATTTTCATTAAGAAAGAATGGTCTCATGTTTTGATGTATAAACATAGTAACGTAGAATGTGGTTCTCAAAGACATATTTTCAAGGAAGCCAGTAGAATGATCACTTTATAAGTAACTACTGACTGAGAGAAATCAGATCCGAGAGCAGTTTCTACAAAAAAAAAATAAAAAATGTGGCAATAGTTTGCATTTTTTCACCATTACTTTAATCCAAGAGATGCATTCCAGGTTAATTTTACACTAGAAGCTTCAACATTAACCAAAATGATGCACACTAATTTAGGCTGACATTTTATGAAGTTGTTTTCTGTCTTTGTGTATATCGTGCAGCTTTCATTTGCAGGATGTATGCCGTGAGAACAGTTAGTCATCAAGGAAATGTACTATCAGTTTATTGACCTGATTTTTCATTTACAGAGTAATGCATGTACAGTACTGCATGTTAAAGGTTAACCTCTCTGCTCTGTCACAGGTCAACCTGATGTGTGACTGTAATCAAACGGTTTTGCAACCTGTCCCTCATCGTACCGCATTTGATTGCTCCTGAATAAGGAAGATTCTGATGCACATTAAAAAAAAAAAAAAAAAAACTGTATTAGCACTATGTAGTGTACATTTTTCTGGCTTGTCTGTTCATGATTTCCACAGACTACATGAAATACATGAACGATGGAATAGTGAAACAGACAACGTTTGATTGTGAGGTTGAGATTATCATTAATATCCTTTAAAGCCTCACATTTTGGAGTTGTTTATTTCCTGAGAAGGCTTGCTTTGAATTGTTGATCATGTGTAAATATTTAGTCATCCACACGCTGCTTTTCTATTGGTGTACAACAGTTTGTGGCATTAAAAAGTCAGATTTAAAAGTGTTTCTTTGGTGGTGGCACCTTCTCAGACTTGCCAAACAGATTCTCTGCAAATGTTACAGCAGATGGTGTAAAGAAATTGAAATTATTCCTCGAGTAGAGTAAAAGTGCATCAGTCAATAGTTGCAGGAATGATGAATTGGCTTGGCAGTGTAGTATAATCAATAAGACGGGACACTTATAGTCTGACACTGTGAGCGTGCTGCCTGGAATATTATAGGTTATAGGTATTACTGGTACTGCTGTATGAATTACACTGCCTGAAATTAGAAAACAAACAATGTAAGCTGTTGCACTATATCATTAGCATAGCACCATTTGCAGAGAATTTATGCACTGACTGATTCTAGTAGATAATAAAAATGTTCAGGCTTTGTCCTGTGCATGCATCAAACTGCACTGGTGGGTTGCACACATGTCTTGAGTTGGTTGTTCAGAAACATGCATTTATTAGAAGGTGTCACTCTTTGCATAATCAGTTTACTCAGTTTGTTGAAAATGTCCTCTAATTTCGGGGCCATCTTGTGCACAGTTTGTTTTTTGTTTGTTTGTTTTTTTCAAATATAGCATCGTATTTGTACTCATTAGTCATTCAATTCAATACCAATTCCCCTTCTATTCTGTTCTGTTCTACTCTGTTCTATTCTATTCCGTTCTAGCCACCCGGGCTGCCTAGCAACAAGCCCCCAAATCTCGCGGTGGAGGCGAAAATCTTCACGGCACATTTTGAACTGCGTAGGGACACAGAGGCATCTTGCGTTGTGAGTGTGTTTGTGGGGCACAACAAACGTCAACATGGCAGATGTTGTAACGCTTGACGAGGAGCCAAAGCAAGACGAATCTACCGCATCCGTCAAGTCCGAACCCGACGAGACTTCTGAAGAAACACCCAACGGCGTGAAAACGTGTGTAAAAGCCGCGCATTGTTCCAGAAGTCCCCGTCTGTGTAGCTGCTAGCTAGCATTAGCTAAAATGGAGTCTGGGATGCTAGGCTATTGTTAGCCGAGAAGCCGCTAACCTCTGTTGTCAAAAAAATAAACAAAACTTTAACGTTAACTAAGTGATTGATTTTACGATTGTGGTTGAAGTTACAGCAAAAGCATGCGAGATAAT